ACTTATACCAGGCAAAATAGACTTTCAAACAAAGGCTATAACAAGAGACAAAGAAGTACCCAGTAATCCCAGTTCTGGGTATTTATCTGAAGAAACCCAAACGCTGGTTTGAGGGGACATGTGCATCCATATGTTCATTGCAGCATTGTTTACAATGGCCAAGATGTGGAGGCAGCCTGGGTGTCCATCGATGGAAGAATGGATAAAGAGGAGGTGGTACATATGTTTAATGGAACATTGCTTGGCCATCAAGGGAATGGGTTCTTTTCATCTGTGGTGGCATGGATGGACCTGGAAGGTATTGTGCTGTGTGGTGTGTCAGACAGAGAAAGACAGATGCAATATGATTTCACTTATATGTGGAATCTAAAGAACAAAATAAGCAAAACAGAAACAAACCCATAGATATAGAGAACATATTGATGGTTGCCAGATGGAAGGGGTTTGGGGTGAGTGAAAAAGGGACAGTATTAAGACGTACAAAGTGGTTGTTACAGTTATCATGGAGATATAGGGTATAACATAAGGAATATAGTCAATAATATTGTGATAGTGTGGGACGGTGTCAGATGGTTGCTGGACTTACCATGCTGATCACTTCTTTAGGTGTATGAATGTTGAATAACTATGGGGTACACCTGAAGCTAATATAATATTGTATGTTAGCTATATTTTAATAAAAAATTTAAATAAATTGAAAAAAGTTAATGGTTAAAAAAAGAAAAAAATACTTTTTTCAATGTTAAAAAAAAGAAATTGAAAAGACAATCCACTGTGTGAGAGAAAATATTTGTCAATCATGTTTGATAAATAATCTAGTATTCAGGATATGAAAAGAACTCTTAAATTCAACAACAAAACAACAACCAAATTTAAAAATACGAAAGGACTTCAACAGGCATTTCTCCAAGGAAGATATACAAGTAGCCAACAAACACATGACCATTAACATCACTAGTCATCAGGGAAATACAAATCAAAACCACAATGAGATATCACTTCGTCCCCACTAAGATTACTATATATTTTTTAAATACAGAAAATAAAAATTGTTAGCAAGTATGTAGAAAAATCGGGACCACATTCCTGATGGGAATGTGAGATGGGGCAGCCAGTATAGAAAACATTTTAGTGGTTTCTCAATAATGTAAACATAGAATTATCAAATGATCCAGCAATTTCACTACTGAGTAGGTACCCAAAAGAATGAACATAGGCAATTAACAAAGACTTGTACATGAATGCTCATCGCAGCACTATTTATAGTAGCCAACAGGTGAAAATGACCCAAATGTCCATCAACTGATAGATAAACAAAATTTGGTCTATCCATACAATGGAATATTATTCAGCCATAAAAAGATAAAAGTACTGATACATGCTGCAACATGAATGAACCTTTAAAACATGCTAAGTAAAAGAAGCCAGACATAAAGGCCACGTATTGTATGATTCCATTTATATGAAATACTCAGAACAGGCAAATCCATAGAGACAAAAAAAACGTATTAGTGATTACCAGAGATTGGAGGGAAGAGTGAATTCAGGAGTAGCATCTTTTTTTTTTCTTTAAAGATTTTATTGGGGAATTGGGGGAGGGGAACAGACAAGTTGCTGTCCTTTTGTTCTTCAGTCTAGTTGTGGAGGACGTTGCTTCACTGGCCCAAGTTAGCACCATCATTGCGCTCTTCCCGTGCGAGGCAGATCAGTCGCCGGCCTTTGGACGGCTGCTCACAGCGGCTGCTGACCGCTCACGCTGGCTGTCGGCTACACATGCTAGCTTATGGCAGCCCACTGCAGCAGGGGACTGCAGCCTACGCCATCGCCAGCAACCCACAGCAGCCCAGCTCCAGGTTGAGCTGGTGTTCAGCATCTTAGCTGTAGAGGGCAGTGTCACTGGCCCTCATATGTGGGATCCGAACCGGGGCCCTCTGTCATCCCAAGCCAGTTCCTAACCAACGCGCTACTCGGCCGGCCCGGGTGTAGCTTCTTAATGGATACTGGATTTTCTTTGGAGTGATAGGAATATTCTGGAACTAGATAGTGGTGAATGTACTAAATGCCACTAAATTTTACACTTTAAAATGGTTCAAGTAGAAAATTTGTTTTATATACCTCTCTACTACAATAAAAATAAGCCAGGAGACACATATATTACCATATTAAGAGTGATGAACTGACAACTGATTTCCAAACAAGAATGAAAATCAAAAGATAATATCTACATATTGCTAAAAGGAAGAATCTGAAATCTCCCCAGAAAAAGACAATCAAGTACCAATTTCTTTCATGCATTAAAGCAATAACTAAACAAGTTTCCAATATACATGTGTGGTTTTACCACCCAGTAAGACCCTGCCAACATAAAAAATAAGAGTATACTTATTAACCTTCTGTCAGTAAATTTGAAAACTGTAGTAAAATGGATAATTTCTAATAAATGTAACTTACTCGAGGAGGAATAGGAAACATTGAAACTCCTATAACCTTTGAGAAATTGAATTGGTGTTCAAAAATCTCCCTATAAAGAAAACTCCAGATTCAGATGGCTACTCTAAATACTCTACCAAATTTTCAAGAGATAAATAATACCAATATTACAAAGATTCTTTCAGAGAATGGAGAAAGGTTGTGCATTATCCAATGCTTTTTATGATAACAACAAAACCCAACAAGGATAATTTTATTGGAAAATAATAGGCCAATTTTATTAATGAACATAGATCTGGCTTAATCATAGGTTGATCTGGCTGGCTGGTTTATCTATGATCCATATAACATCAGCAGGATGGATGGATGAATCCACTTGCTAGATGGCTTGAAAATATATGGTACTAGAGGTGACAGGTTTGGAAAGGCACTGCTTCTGGTGAAGGGGAGACACACATTGGAGGTTTTGTGATGAGCAACAACAACAAAAAAGGCAAGTGGTGGAAATTAAGTGTCCTGTAAAAGCAAAAACAAATCACAAAATCGTAAGAAACAAACCTCTTTCTGTCCCATCTATTAAAGAAACTGCACTACACTTTATCAACAGTAGAAGGTGCCCATGGACTAAGAAATCTAATTAGCCACCCAAGCCTCTTATTTCTGCTTACATAAATTCACCTCTTATTGTTGGAACAAGAAAAAATCAGGAGTTTCTAAATGAACAGAAAATGACAGATGAGATAAAAGGTATTTTTGTTCTTGATTTTTCACTCCCTCCTTCCTTGAAAACTCCATTGACTTTGGGCTTGGCAATAGTACTCATTTTGATGAATGGAATGTAAGTAGACATGACATACACCACTTCCGAACAGAAGCTTCCAATGCGATTGTGTGTTTGACTCAGTCTCTTGTGCATATTCCTTCTGCCATCAGATAAAAATGTAGAAGAAATTACAAAATTAGGAAATCAACTTGCAACTATCAATATATTATTTAATTGCTTGTAAGGAACTTTAATGGATGCTAAAACCATTGGATGACAGCTTAATGAGGAACAGAATATTTACATGGTCTCAAAGTATCACCCCACACATTGTTAGGAAAGGGCAAGGGCTACCTTTATAACAGAGAGATCTGGTGGAACTTCGCAACATCAATAATGGGACAAACTGGCATCATGTGTCCCCTGATGTGATGTGGTGGGAAGGACACTTTGCCAACTTAGTATTTTCATTAAAAGTGTTTAACCAAAATCTAATAATGAAAAAGCAGTCACACAAATTTAGAATACAGGGCATTCGTGTGTGTGTGTGTGTGTGTGTGTGTGTTTGTAAAAGCAGTTTATTAGAAGAAAAGAAGTAGAAGTGGGCCTGAGCAGTAGATTGTGGCTCAAGGACCATTATTAGAAGAGAAAGTGCACTGCAAAGAGTTTGGAGCGGGCTGAGCAAAAGAAGCTCAAAAGGCCAGAATGCGGGACATTCTACAACACAATGGTCCTGGACTTTTTAAAATGTTGTGAAGGACAAAAAAAGATCAGAGAGTAGGAGTCTGTTCTAGATTAAAGGAGATTCAAAGAGATATAATAAGTAAATGCAATGTATGATCTTTTATTAAATTCTGGGTTGGAAAAACTGTGTAAAAGATATCATTGTGATATCAACATTAGGTTTGTTGGTTATAATAATGTTATTCTGTGCTTATGTAGAAAAATGACCTTATTTTTAGGTTTGGCACACTGAAGTATTTCAGAGTAAAATGCCATTGATATTTATAACTTCTTTCCAAGTAGTTCAGAAAAATGTGTGTGTGTGTGTGTGTGTGTGTGTAGAAAGTAAATATCTCACTATATTAACAATTGATGAGTCTAATTAAATGAGTTGTATTCACTGTATTGTTCTTTTAATGTCTTGAGGTTGATATTATTTCAAAATAAAAACTTGAGGGTAAATAACAGGGAATGACTCTCACAGATGTACAAGCCTCCAAATATACCATAAACATTTGTCAAAGAATCCCAGAACAGGGACCTTAATGTTTCTCAAAAGTTTCCTCCAACTTTAACAAATGTTTATAGTATATTTGCCATATATATACATTGTGCTATATATCCTACATGTGGAGGATAGGCCAGTGACCAAGGTCTCTGCCCTCATGGAGCTGACAGTTGGTGATGAAAGCAGAGGGAACAGTCAATAACCATGGAACAGATAAATGAGAAGATATTAAATGCTATGAAGAAAATGAACAAGTTGAGATTTAGAGTCAATAAGAGTCCTATTTTAGTTGGCATTGATCTCTCTAAAGAGATGACATTTAAACTGAGACCCAAAGGATAAAAAAGGGGTAACAGAAAGGGTAAGAGCATTCCAAACAGAGGGAAGCAAACATACAAAGGCTCTCGTGATAAACAAGAATTAGCGTTGTGCAGGAACTATAGACAAAGGCCTCCACAGCAGGCAAGCAGGGCGCTCTTAACTCTAGATGTCATATCCGCTTTCCCTGGCCATGTTGGAGAAGCATAATTTTTTTTTCTGTCGGACAACTGATAAATACTATCTTTCCTCTTTCAGTTTTTTCAGGGAAATCAAGACTCCTTCACACCTGTGGTGAACTCGCTAGACCCACCGCTACTGACTCGCTACCTTAGGATTCACCCACAGAGATGGGTGCACCAGATTGCCCTGCGGCTGGAGGTTCTGGGCTGTGAGGCACAGCAGCTGTACTGAAAAAGTAGGGGACCCTGGGCGTTTTCAAGGGAAATGCCTCCTAAACTTCCTTCATAAATCCTCCTAATCCAATAAAACCACTCTAACGTAGAATTCCCTCCATAAAATATAGTAAAATACAATTGTTTATATAGTATACAATCTTATAGGATTGTTTTAAGTGCCCTCCCACCCCTGTTAACATGGTACCACCAGGATAAACAACCATCCCAGTTTGGCCTAGACTGTCCCAGCTTTAGCAAACCCTGGGCCAGTCCCCTTGCCCCTCCCTCCGGGTCCCAAGCCACTCCCCAACTCCAGTCCAGCAGCCCTCCCAGACTAGCCTCCTACCTCAGAGCCTGTTTTCTGTGTTACTTCCTGCCCCACATTGCCCGCAGTGCCATCATTTTTCTATGTATTTAAACTATACTGCCCAAACAGATGCTGCCCATAGCCTTCCAAATTAATTATCATTATTCTTGTGTTTTCTGGGAGTGTTGCACCCTATTTAACACTTGAGCATTTGCTGCAGCTTCTCCCAGATTGATCCTTCCTTCCAATGTAGTTAGGCAATAAGATATGAGGAAAGCCATCTGGAAAGCATTGTCCTCCTGACAAATTAGGTCTCTCACACAGCCACCACTTCCTCTTTGGTAGAAAAACAATGTGTTTAAAGTTGGCAGACAATATTCATGATGTAAGCATTTCACATTAGGCTTCATACATTTAAAATAATACTCTCACTTTTGAATTATACTTGTCAAGCATGGAACAAAACATATCTGGGGATCATATCACCACCGCCTTGAAGTTAAAAGGCAAGTCATTTTGACAATCTGCAAAATGGAGATAATATATAAGAACTACATTCAAGTCTATTTTTGCCTCCTTACTGATAGACATAATTATCAAGTTTAGTCATCTTGGGGCATTTCTAGTGGTACATTCTTATCTCAAAAACTAATGTTCTTAAACTGAGACTCATAGATGGGATTCAAAAGCCCCCAAGTCCCCTGAATTAGATACAATATTATGAATGCATGTGTGCATTTTTCTGACAGGAGTGTCCAAAGATTTAATATGATTTCAAAGGGTGAATGGCTTTAAAAAATCTCACAAGGATGTAGAAATAAAGTCATTTATTTGGTCCTCATTATAAACAACAACAACAAAATAGGTTAGGATCACAGAAGTATTGGGAACCTTGAAATAAAATGACAATGTCCCTTTAAAATGGTGGTGACCATAAAGGTAATAATCATAATAGGCTTCTAAAGGACATATTTTTAATATTTCCACAGAAAAATGAGGACAATCCATGGCTATCTGGGATAGGAGATACAGCATCATAATTCTAATAATACATTCATTTTACTCCCTCTCTCAGCTAATTTCCTGCTGAAATGACACAACGAAAATATAATGGGGAAATTCTATACCAGGACTGAAAACTAGAACGCCACTAACACAGTTGAAATAGCAAGAAGTCAGAAGAAAATCGAGCTGGTGAAAGCAGACAGAGAACACTCCAGTCTACCACTTCCACCCACAAGAGGAACCCCCACCTGTCCTCGACTGATAATTTTTGAAGAGTTTACTACTCCTTACATATGCCTGCCCCCTTCACTATGACACACAAGCATCTCCTGGATGGTAATGGGAACTGAACGCAAGGATAAGCTATAGATGGGGCAGAGGAAACTCCCAAAGTTTACAATTCAGGGCAATTTGAAAACAGGAGTTCTTAGGATAAGAAAAAAAATCATAGCAATCTCAGAAAAGGCAAGAGAATAGTTGTTGTTTTTTTATCCTATGCTAGAGCATTTTCTAATAATCCTGCTTGACTCTGATCTGACCCTTTTGGGGACTGTACCATAGCTGTCCCAGTATAATCACAATCCACAACTAATCAAAGTGCAAATGGTTTATAGTCCTATAAGACTCTGTTAAGGTTAAAGGTTAATTACAGAAATCAACAAGTTGTCTTGCTTTATAGCCTCATAGAGAAGTTAACCCCGAAGGTGATATGGTTTTATTTTCTGTAAAAGGTTGAGCACTCTTTTGTCTAATTTAATCATCTATTTTTGGCATTCTTTTCCCATTGACTATACATCTCTATTTCTCTCATGTTCTCAGAACCAGCTCTTTTGTCTTCACGCTGGTTTCCTCAATAAGCAGTTAAATAAAACATGAACACATGCAAACAAATGCCTTTCAGAGTTGTATTTTCACACTGAAAATAAAAATGTGAACAAAGATGTTAAAAAAA